TGTTAGAGCGTGATCAAGTGGTGATCCTTTTCCGTCTGGTCCCCGTCTGGTGTTTTCTCCAACCTTCTCTATCAGTCCTGCTGCCATGATCGTACTTTGAAGTTTGTGTTCGAAAGATCTACGCCCACATCTTGCTTCACACCCCGGGATGAGTGTCGGTGTGTTGAAGTCTTCAGCGAGGACTATATAGTCATAGGCAGCCGACGTGGTTGATGAGATAGCACTGAGCAATTGTGCCTTATGCTCTGTCGTGCAAAGAGGAGGCCTATATACCACTCCTATTAGGCACTTGATAGTAAGCCGAACAAGCCATCGGTCGCCTCCTCGACTTTTAGATGAGTGCTAGTATATATGGCAACTCTTCCGCCCTCTTTGAACTGCCTGTCCTTGCGGAACAGGGTCATGTTAGGCAAACATATTTCCTCATCCATGATGTCCTCTGCAGCCATGTCTCCGTGAGGAAAATTATGTCTGCGTACAGATTATGACACATTGTTTTTAGCTCCAGTAGTTTGCTCTCAAGATCTCTTACATTGCTGTAGAAGCATGTGAGGAGGTACGTTCTAAGCTTAGTGAGATATGCGGACTTGTTTGAAGGCTAGTATGACGCTGCACCGAATTCTGCCTTCCAGTCCCTACAAGAATGGTAGATCACCGTTTTTTGTCCCCTCTTGGCATCCCGCCACTGGTGTCGCAGTATTATTCATTGTGCCTACAGGTAGCTCACTAACTAACTCTTTTCTGACTAGTACTGCTCGTAGATTTCTCGGAGGTAGCCTTCTATCTTCTAGTCTGGTAGCTCGTGGTTTACTCTCACAGAATTGTATAGCACCTTCCGTGTGGTCCTTCACACGGAACCATGCTGTGAAAGCTTCTGTTAGTGATACTTTGCAGTCAAAGCGTACAGCTGGCAATCTTGGTGAGGAGATGCTCTGCCAGGGCGTAGGTCTTGGTAACCTACTTACGCTGCTGGCAGGCAAATTTCCAGGTCCCATTTTTGCTGCTAACCACCTCCACTGCTTGACATCATGAAGGTAATTATCTCACTGCGAATCCACCCGCCAGTTCAGGTATTCCATGCACCACTGTGGTCGCAGCTTTGTGCAGATCACTAAGCGGTGACATCCTCTCAGCCACTCTGGTGACCCGGGGTTTGCTCAGTTTTACCCTTATGGGGCAGGAGCCTACAATGTCTGGTCGGCGCGACAGCAGTAATATGTTTTCCGACTGCTTAGCAGTCATTGCTGATACCCTGAGAGGTGGCGGCTTGTCTCGAGGTGATCTGCTTCCTCGGGACAGCCGGCACAAGTTGGTTGCGATGTTTTCTACTCCCAAACTTCTGCAGCAGTCATCCCACTTCTTGTCAGGCTTTTCTCTTTTTTCTAAGAGTGAGTCTGCTGTTGTAGGGACGCTGGACAGAATGATGGAATCCGTTCTCTTGTCCTGTAGGTGTAGAATATCGGGCTTGGTAGCCAATGCCTTCGGTCTACCCATTACCCTATTTGCTTCCGTCCATTCATCCTCAGAGCAACCTATTTCCTCAGGTTATTCAGTCCCATCGGATCGTCTGGGTGGCGGTGATACAAGCGAGGACTTTTTAGGTGTCTCACTTGTAGTGGGAGCCAGTTCCTTCCTGCCTCTAGTTATGGCAATTTTGCACACCTGTGGAGCTAGACCGCATTCTGAGGGAAGATTTTTGGAGCTCGACCTTTGTAATATTTTCCGGTGAACCAGGTTTTTCAGTTTGCCAGTGGTGATAGCTATACAATAGACATCGTTCTTTCCGTTACATAAAAGATGCGTCTAGAGTATGAACGTTAATGCTTTGCAGACAGCGAAGAATAAAACAGGTAAACACCAACATAATTCTTCATCATACTGAGACAAGCTCAGTTTGAAAGCAGGAAATATCCAGCTTTTGTTTGAATCTTCCAATCTTCTTGAAGGTAGGGCGGGTAGCACAGCTGTGACCTTAGGCTTTATGCGTTCGTCACAAAATCTAGATGGCACAGTGCACGCTGACAAATTAGACTGCTAGGATTCTATGTGGATGAAGGACTGGTTGGGTAAACCCGAAAAATGAATAACAAAAGCGAGTAGCAGGCGAAATTCAAAACAGGAGCACGGAAATACTACGCAGAAGTACATCGACCATGATACATGTAGGCGAATCCATTATAGTGACTCAGTGATCGTTCAGCAACAACTTTCTTGATGACTACTAAGGAGCTCTTGCAACCGGGGATGCCCAACGCCCTCCCTTGCTCCAGCAAGGCCAACTATGCGACCACGTGAGATCACCCCGTGAACACATCTCGACCTGTAGACTGGACCAGTCCTACAACGGGTGAACATTGAAAACTGGTGAAGGAAACATCATTGCGGCCATCGGTCAAAGTGTGCCGAAGTAACAGACAGTCGTTGAGGACTTCATGGCTAAAATAAAGATAGGGAGGCTACTTCACATCGAAAGGAAGGCTTAGTTTAAGTAGCATTCATCGAGCAAAGGGTTGGGCTTCTTGAGCTACAAAATAATTCCCAACCGCTGCAACTTAGGAGGCCATAGCAACAAGTTTGGCTATCATACAGACCTGCGGAGGAGGTTAGAAAGTAACCTGCAAAACCAGTACCACTCCATGCCGCCAAGGAAGCCGACCAGCAAAGGAGTAATTTGTATCACACGTTTTTATGTAGGCAATCTAGAGGTAGCCAGCTTCCAGGCTCACACTTCCAAACGTAACTTACCACTGACACTAAGGTTTCACCGACTCGATACGACACTGATCGGACCGTAAATAAGGAACACCTCCACAACATTCCAAAGACAGAGTAAAAGGTATCAGAGAAGCTATCTAGGCTCCGTCCAACCAAGTCCCCTGGCTGCAATAACCTGAGGACGTTAGTCCCCAAAAGTGCACTGAGGCGCTTGTGAAACCGGCCTGCAACCCCTTCAAGCACTCGCTGGAGTCATACGAACTTCTTAAGGAACAGGAGTGTGTGATCTTGTTATCGATCTTAAAGAGAGTAGACAGAAGAGGTCCTCGCAGCTGCATACCAATCCCCCCACTCCCTACACTGTCTAAAGTATTAAGCATCCTGAAAGCTGGTGAGGTCTGGGAATTCCTTAAAGGAGGAAACATGGTCCATGCTGATCGGCATGGCTTTCGCGTGGTCGTTCATGTACCACAAAATTGTTGACTGCCTGGGATGACCGAACTTTCAGCTGGGACAACAGCAAAGTAGTACGTGTTGTTTCCCCCGGTCTAGCTTAAGAATTTGGCAGTGTTTCGCCCACATCCATGCCTCACAAGAGCGTGACATCCGATATAAAGGGACCTCTCCTCGCTTGGCTCATTGAGTACCCAGAAAGCGGGCGATTCTGAGCCGAGATAAACAGAATAATTTCGGGATATGGACTGCCGATGTCAGGAGTATCTCAAGGAGCAATTCTGAAGCCACTCATGTTCCTGCTGTCGTTAGGCGATCTGCCGCACAAAATCTTCTAACCCATGCTCCTCTTCTTTGACGGGGTCGAAATTCGGAGGGTGATAAACCAAGAGGCCGACTATACGTCAGTCCGAGATGATCTGCAGCAAACTGGACTCCGGTCGTCGGAAAACGGATTGAGCTTCAAACTGGAAAAGTTGGTAGTGATGCATAGCAGTACCCACGAAGCAAGGGCGGCTGACGTCCATCACATTTTGAGCAACCGTGGTATCACTAGAGTATCCACGGAAGACGATCGGGAGCTCAACTCCCCCAACAGCTTAAATACCAGCCAAAACTTCCAAGTCATGGCATTCAGAGTGAACGACTTTCACGCCTCCTGCGCAGAGAGATTGGTGCTTTCTTACCTGGAATGTTTCTCAAAGTTTTCATATCCCACGCATAGACACACTTAGAGGTCTTTAGTACGATGGTACCCTCTACAATCAAGACAGACCTCAATCCCCTTGAAAAAGTACCAGTATCAGCAATAAAATCAGTTGTGGGACCGAGAGCAGAGGTATGCTCTGGGAGACTGAAACACTTAAATCTGCTCACTTTGGGCTATTGGAGAAAGAGTGGTGAACTCATTATGGCCTACGGGATCAGTCGTCAAACAAACTACGCAAACAAACCAAACCTGCCTGCTACATGGCGGCCATCACAAAGAAACCCTGTCGGTAAGGCATATCAAGGAGCTAACACCGGGCTCAGGCCAAATTTTTCTCTTAGGGTATGTGCTGTATGGAATGCCCAGCTGCGGTATATAGTCACAGCCCTCTCGGCACTCATTCAAAAGACGGTTAGACAGTTATGTCATTTCGCACGGCCCACCACTGACTTACTCAGGGGGTTACTAGCCTCATAAGCCCACCATCACTCCTCTTCTACTTACCACTCACTACCTCTCTTATTGATACGGGTGCATTGTCTGCTAACTCTTCTCTAGCAACTCGACGTATTCTACCTACTTTTACCTCTCGGGTAAGTCCCACATACCTTTTCTCACTACCTTGCTGTTCCTATACGTGAGGCTTCACACGTAGGGGCCATGACAGACACTTAATCTTCCCACCGATCTGTGGTTCCCTTATCACCCAATAAGTTGTAACTAATAGATGCGAGAGATCAAAAACTATCAGTTTCTACGCTCGCACTATCAATATTGGATATTGGAGCGCGATTTCCAAAGTTGTTTCTCCGGCAACCTTGTACGGTGTATCAGTTATCAGTTAATACTAAGTGTAAGTACATCGTATGCGCTTGCTGAGTTGTGTGCTCACGTTTCTCTCTCCCTCTTTTCCCTTTCAGATTCTGATCACTAAACTCACAAACCTCTCTGAAACAGCGTACCACCCACCTACAGTCAAGACAAAAACCTATCAACAACTGTTCGTTTGCTTTCTGTGTGTGCGTTGTCATCAGTGTTGCTGTGCTTTCGTCATTTCGAACCCATTGACATCTGTTTTGTTGCTAAGTTCCCTGAATAACTTGGGAGTCTGTGGCAAGCAACAATGAAACTGGCTTTTGTATGATGCATTATCTGTCTCCTTATTCAGAATATGTTGTCATTTTAGGTAACCGGGTCTAATAAAGGTATTGGATATAGTATTGTTGAGAAGCTTGCAAAATTTTATGGGACGTCAGGAGAATGGGACATTTATTTAACAGGTATGTAGTCTTTATGTGTTGATTATTTTACAGCTCGGAACGTTGATCTTGGTCTTCAGGCTGTGAAAAAACTGGCAGATGAAGGACTTGATGTCAAATTTCACCAATTAGATATAACAGATCCTAACAGTCGAAAAGCATTTCTGTCATTTGTGCAGAAGAATTATCCTGGTGGGATAAACATTTGTGTGAATAATGCTGGCATAGCTTATAAAGTAGCTTTCAAGTCGCCCTTACAATGACATCTTTTAGGTGGATTCTCCAGCTCCATTTGGTGAGCAAGCCAAAGTTACGGTGAACACCAATTTCACTTCAACCGTTGATTTTATTGAGGAGTTCATTCCCTTGTTAGCTGAAAATGCTAGGTACGACATTACTGCTACTTGATACTTTTTAGAGTTGTCAAGTGTATCCAGTACTCTGTCCTTGGTTCGGTCTGAAGGAATTGAGTGACTGAATTGTACGAGAAAATCGTTGGGCCTATGAATCTTTCAGAGCTGAGAACACTAATGTTGGAATTTGTTAAGTGAGGTTTATTATTTTAACCATTATAATAGATATGTTAATTTTATTTTTTGCATGTAGTCTTAGCTTTATCTAATTTCTTAAGAAACCAAGCTTGAAAAGCAACGTGATGTTTCATGTACATGTACGCTGTTGCCTAGAAGTAAAGCAGATCATCTGCACTTCTCGTTTATATCAGGCAGATGACCTAGGAGTAAATCAGTTCCTATGATCCTTAGGTGCATCTGACTTTTCAGGGATCGATTGGCTCCGCAGAGATCATTTGGTTGACTTAAATTGAGCAGACGATATTCTGTTAGATGAAGACAGTGACAAAATGTAGGGTCCTCTGAACGCGTTGAGCAGAAATCTAAGTATGTTTGGGTGGCATGCTTCTTGCTGGCACCTGTCAAATGTAAGATGATGCTCCAGGACTGGTATGATGCAAGTACTGCCAGTTTAATGATGGGGACTGAAGTGATGAAATATATCGACCACTTCACTTACTTGGGGAGTTACATCAGCCCGAACAGACTGGTTACTGACGAAATTTCATCTCGGATACAGAAAGCCCGTTTGACATTTGACAACTTGCATCACCTGTGACGCCGACCAGCGAGATATCCAACTATCTATCAGTGGATTAGTATACTGCACTGCAGTTCGTTGTGTAGCTATGTGAGCAATGTTAAGGTCAGGCGGAGACCATGCAAGTCGATTGATGAGGTTGTGAACATTAGTCGACTAAGATGACCTGGACATGTTCTGTGCATGCCGTCATCACTTGCCTCGACATGTCACCCAAGGGTAATCTGAATTAGATTGGAAGAGGGTTCAGGGTGGCCAGATGAAGACGTGACACCAGTCTATGAATTCCCTAGTTGTTGGTCTCAGCGATGTGGGGGAGATGTAAACTGCCTGGCTGAGGTCCCTGAGACGATAAGAATCAGTGGTTGAAGTCTCTTGATGACATGGCCGAAAATCTATCATAGTGGTGCAGATCTACTCACTCCTTCACATCTAAAGCTAGAATATTTGCACCAACCTTTATCTTCAGATTGTATATTTTCTCATAATACCTAATCTTCTTTGATACCACTTTTTCTATCCACCTATTCTGTTCTACTATGAAGTGCTCTTCAAGTATCAATGCACATCAATCTTGGATTAGATGCGATGCAAACCCCGGGAATTCCTAAACTTTCTCTGATTTATTTTAAGGACTATACCACCACTTAGTTGATTAATTTAATCTTGATGTCCCTTGTGTGCCGTTCACCAGCCAGGCAACTTATGTATATCAGTCTGTCGGATAGTTGGTTCTGAAAGCATTGAAGTTAACCACCTTTACAATAAGATTGAAGGAAAACGGGAACTGAATGCCACATGAGTTCACGACATCAACTGAATACCCTTGAGCCTTCATGGAGCTATGTACAAATTATCTCCGCTTCTGTTGACTACTACATATTTACGTAAAACTTCATTAACGAATTTGAGTTCTTTCACATATTCGAATTCAGGTCTACTTGTATTGTAAAGTCGTATGAAATAGGGTGATGTGGTTAATGTATCATCCAGTGTCTCAAGTTTATTCGCTTTTTGGTGTGCTTACTGTTCCTGCGTCTCACATGTTTGTCAAATTGACATTACTAGGAGAGTATTAATGGTATAAAATTGAGGTGAGTTGTATGTGGTTATCACAAAGTAGTATTTTTGCTGATTGCGAATTTTAATGGTGCGTAGTTAAATTCAATTGTCATAAAGTTGAAGACGTTGTTTGTAAGTTGTACGCAGGGAGTGTTTCTATAATAGCACAGTTGGAGTGCACATTAAAAGTTCCTGTCGATTCTTTCAGTTCTTATTTGAACTTGTATTTCATATGTCCTTTAGTAAGACTAACTAGTTGTAACTCTTCTTTGGTTAGCTTTTAATTAGCTTATCGTACAGTTAACTGTTGTTTAGTAAATGCGTTCTGCATCTCGTTCATATTTTGCGCGAAGATTGCTGTTTACTTGTTCAAATGTTTTTGGCCTAGTCATGTTGGGACCCAAGTGGAGTAAGTTTTTACGTGGCAGGTTGTGAACAAGGTTGTGGAAAGGCAGCCATGCTTATTGACTTCAAAGTTACAGATAACCGTCGTCACTACTCCCTTTTTATGACATTGCTGTACCAAACCCTATAGCAGTGGTGATGAACTATCAACTGCGATATAATTAAGAAAGGACTTTTTGTTCTTGGGTTTGGTATTTTAACTACTCGTGGGTCAGTGGTTCCAGTGCCGGGGTTTGGGTATTTAGTTGGCATACTCAGATCTCCCCTTAGGTGTGGTCCACTGCACATGGTTTAGTTACTTCATAATTAGTTGTTATGTTTCACAAGGATTTACTATCGTATCTTCAGAGTACCCATTAGTGAATGCTGCAAGATGATGAATCATGTCATAGGCCATGACGGGGGTGTACTAGGTAGTCTAGAGATTGCTGAGCTTTTGAGCTCACACTTCCAAGCCCAACTGAGCACTGACACAAGATCCACACCGACTCGCTACGACACCGACCAAGTCGTAAATAACGAATACCTCTGTCATGTCTCTATTGCAGAGAAAAAAGTGTTCGAGAAACTATCTAGGCTACGTTCGGGCAAGTCCACTGGCCCCATCTCCCTCCTAACTACCACTCAGGCCAAATTTTTCTCTTAGGGTATGTGCTGTATGGAATGCCCAGCTGCGGTATATAGTCACAGCCCTCTCGGCACTCATTCAAAAGACGGTTAGACAGTTATGTCATTTCGCACGGCCCACCACTGACTTACTCAGGGGGTTACTAGCCTCATAAGCCCACCATCACTCCTCTTCTACTTACCACTCACTACCTCTCTTATTGATACGGGTGCATTGTCTGCTAACTCTTCTCTAGCAACTCGACGTATTCTACCTACTTTTACCTCTCGGGTAAGTCCCACATACCTTTTCTCACTACCTTGCTGTTCCTATACGTGAGGCTTCACACGTAGGGGCCATGACAGACACTTAATCTTCCCACCGATCTGTGGTTCCCTTATCACCCAATAAGTTGTAACTAATAGATGCGAGAGATCAAAAACTATCAGTTTCTACGCTCGCACTATCAATATTGGATATTGGAGCGCGATTTCCAAAGTTGTTTCTCCGGCAACCTTGTACGGTGTATCAGTTATCAGTTAATACTAAGTGTAAGTACATCGTATGCGCTTGCTGAGTTGTGTGCTCACGTTTCTCTCTCCCTCTTTTCCCTTTCAGATTCTGATCACTAAACTCACAAACCTCTCTGAAACAGCGTACCACCCACCTACAGTCAAGACAAAAACCTATCAACAACTGTTCGTTTGCTTTCTGTGTGTGCGTTGTCATCAGTGTTGATGTGCTTTCGTCATTTCGAACCCATTGACATCTGTTTTGTTGCTAAGTTCCCTGAATAACTTGGGAGTCTGTGGCAAGCAACAATGAAACTGGCTTTTGTATGATGCATTATCTGTCTCCTTATTCAGAATATGTTGTCATTTTAGGTAACCGGGTCTAATAAAGGTATTGGATATAGTATTGTTGAGAAGCTTGCAAAATTTTATGGGACGTCAGGAGAATGGGACATTTATTTAACAGGTATGTAGTCTTTATGTGTTGATTATTTTACAGCTCGGAACGTTGATCTTGGTCTTCAGGCTGTGAAAAAACTGGCAGATGAAGGACTTGATGTCAAATTTCACCAATTAGATATAACAGATCCTAACAGTCGAAAAGCATTTCTGTCATTTGTGCAGAAGAATTATCCTGGTGGGATAAACATTTGTGTGAATAATGCTGGCATAGCTTATAAAGTAGCTTTCAAGTCGCCCTTACAATGACATCTTTTAGGTGGATTCTCCAGCTCCATTTGGTGAGCAAGCCAAAGTTACGGTGAACACCAATTTCACTTCAACCGTTGATTTTATTGAGGAGTTCATTCCCTTGTTAGCTGAAAATGCTAGGTACGACATTACTGCTACTTGATACTTTTTAGGGTTGTCAATGTATCTAGTTCTGTGTCTTTGTCCAGTCTGAAGAAATTAAGCAACGAATTGTACGAGAAAATCGTTGGGCCTATGAATCTTTCAGAGCTGAGAACACTAATGTTGGAATTTGTTAAGTGAGGTTTATTATTTTAACCATTATAATAGATATGTTAATTTTATTTTTTGCATGTAGTCCTAGCTTTATCTAATTTCTTAAGAAACCAAGCGTGAGAAGCGTGCTGTTCACCTTATCCCTATTGCTTTTTCCGAATGTCAATCTGGGTCAATTTGGGATCATGTGCGAGACACCCTGAGAATTCTTAATTTATCTCTGATTTACCTTGAGAACCACGCTTTTACCTACTGCTTTAATTTAACCATGATATCTGCATATCGTTCACCAGCCAGGCGACTTATGTATATCAGTCTGTCGGATAGTTGGTTCTGAAAGCATTGAAGTTAACCACCTTTACAATAAGATTGAAGGAAAACGGGAACTGAATGCCACATGAGTTCACGACATCAACTGAATACCCTTGAGCCTTCATGGAGCTATGTACAAATTATCTCCGCTTCTGTTGACTACTACATATTTACGTAAAACTTCATTAACGAATTTGAGTTCTTTCACATATTCGAATTCAGGTCTACTTGTATTGTAAAGTCGTATGAAATAGGGTGATGTGGTTAATGTATCATCCAGTGTCTCAAGTTTATTCGCTTTTTGGTGTGCTTACTGTTCCTGCGTCTCACATGTTTGTCAAATTGACATTACTAGGAGAGTATTAATGGTATAAAATTGAGGTGAGTTGTATGTGGTTATCACAAAGTAGTATTTTTGCTGATTGCGAATTTTAATGGTGCGTAGTTAAATTCAATTGTCATAAAAGTTGAAGACGTTGTTTGTAAGTTGTACGCAGGGAGTGTTTCTATAATAGCACAGTTGGAGTGCACATTAAAAGTTCCTGTCGATTCTTTCAGTTCTTATTTGAACTTGTATTTCATATGTCCTTTAGTAAGACTAACTAGTTGTAACTCTTCTTTGGTTAGCTTTTAATTAGCTTATCGTACAGTTAACTGTTGTTTAGTAAATGCGTTCTGCATCTCGTTCATATTTTGCGCGAAGATTGCTGTTTACTTGTTCAAATGTTTTTGGCCTAGTCATGTTGGGACCCAAGTGGAGTAAGTTTTTACGTGGCAGGTTGTGAACAAGGTTGTGGAAAGGCAGCCATGCTTATTGACTTCAAAGTTACAGATAACCGTCGTCACTACTCCCTTTTTATGACATTGCTGTACCAAACCCTATAGCAGTGGTGATGAACTATCAACTGCGATATAATTAAGAAAGGACTTTTTGTTCTTGGGTTTGGTATTTTAACTACTCGTGGGTCAGTGGTTCCAGTGCCGGGGTTTGGGTATTTAGTTGGCATACTCAGATCTCCCCTTAGGTGTGGTCCACTGCACATGGTTTAGTTACTTCATAATTAGTTGTTATGTTTCACAAGGATTTACTATCGAATCTTCAGAGTACCCATTAGTGAAATGCTGCAAGATGGGATTTCTTAAGTTTCTATTAAGAAGTCGTGGCCTGTTAGAGCAAAAGTATCCAATGATGGCGTTGGATGTTTACACTATATCGCAAATTGACAGGAGTAGAAAAGTGTGGAACATTAGATTCTGACCTAGTGACTCACTGGGGACGTTCTCACCACGAAGCCTGAAGGTTCTGGGTTCGACCCTTGATGGGATTGTTGTGAGTTCACACTGCTAAGTCCCATACCGGGAGGAAACAGCTGTCCAGTGCTCCCAGGTTTTCAATGGCTCTTCAACTGATATCAGTCCGTAGTGAGTACTCAGTTGAAACCCTGAAGATAAGTTGAACATTCACTACATTGATTAGGTAGTGTTCGAATAATAGTCACACTACACCCTTGTGTATGTACAACATACCTATGTAACCTGGTTAGTGAATCCCTGTCTCATCAACCACAAACTTCAGACGTTAACTATTTCAGCATACGCTTAATTGTGGCTTATTTGTGTTGACATTCGACTTCCAACCAAGTGGATTTCGCCTTCGAATCTCGCTCCACCTACGAGTTGGTGTGGCTCATTGTCTATTGTATGAACATGCACGTAGTCGTTGAATGCATCTGGCAGGTTGATTTGAACAGACCAGGGATGCTATTTCTTGAGTTTAAAGAACTGAAAATCTGAGGAAACTGAGCAAGTGGTATTGTTACTAGTGACACATACTAAAAGATGACAGTAAAGTTTTAGCGACTACTTAAACACATAGTCGAGAGTTTTTTGGGAGACTGTTACTTCTCAGCTGGTTTATGTCTTCGTAGAAAACTCAGATTAGCAAATAACTTAGTTCGCTTAGAACCTGAAATCCCTTGAGACTGGTCAGATGAGGTCTTAGTAAAAACCCGAAGAAAGTGTTGCTTCTTCTTTAGAGAAACTCACCATCTGCAACGAAAAGTGGCAAGCGATGATGCAATATTTATCCTTCAATTGAATCTCTTCTGAAGAGCATGATATGATTGAGGATGGTAAGTCACGACAAACACTAGTATTAATTCCTGTGACGATAGTTGAGTTGTTTACAGTAGTATAATAGCAAATTTTCACCCTATCTTCAGCGAACGTTCGAGCTGGTATAACTCTAGTGGGTCACCACGATACACAAGTCGTACCACCTCGTTAAATTAGTAGATGATAGCTGAATTGAGCAAGATAGGATTTCATGGGAACTGTGTTTCATGCGGTCGAAGAATGAATTGTCGGATAATATAAAGTGATCAACCTTATTGAGAGGTTTTATGTGACTGGATTTGTTCACCTCTGTGTAGCGGCGAAGAGGATGATTCGCTAATTGCTTTCTGAGAAAGTGGATTATGTAGGTAGGATGGATGAAACATCGGTTAAAAGGTACTGTAGTACTCATTTCGTTTTATTGAAGTGAGTCTGTGTGCGTTTACAGTTTGTCAGTGTCAAGACCTTTGTTCATCCGTTAGTTGACTACTTGAATGACGTTTACGCGCAGATACGTCTTTGCAACTACAGTTTGTATGACTTCCATTTACCGCATTCACCGCCGAATTTTAGTAGGGGTATGTAAAAGTCAAACTTAATTCCAGTTCCATGAATTATGTAGATATTTCAATATAACTTGTTTCAGTTTAAATTATTGGCAAAAGTTTCATGAGGAACAATTCATTGTTTGGATGAGAATTATGATGTCTTATCGTAGTTTGAAATCACTGACTTGACACACGTTACGTATTCCCAGTCGCTGATTACCTTTTCACACAATGTTGGCCGAAGTAGGTCCAGACTAGAGGGGGGGCGAAGTCGTACTACTGCTAGCTGGATGGGGTGTGACAGCAGTAAGTGTTTCCCTTGCATGAATAGCAGCGCCATGCTGCCTTCTCAGTGGAAGGGGGGGGGTGCTTATTCACCTGAACTCTCCTGACCAATCTGGCGAATCCGCAAAATTCACCCTTCGAGTTTCTGGAGATTCGATAGCTAGCTCTCGCGGTCTTGCAGGTGTAGGTATAGCATTAAGCACTAGGGCAGAAAACTCACTACTAGACTGGATCCCAGTTGACAGTCACCTCTGCGCTATCCAACTGGACGGCACAGCGAGTACTAAAGGGAATAGTGAAACTCGCCGTTGTCTCTTTGTAGTCTCTGCTTACGCACACACTGACCGTAGTTCGGATGAATTGAAGGATGAGTTCTACCGTAAACTGTCTAACCTCCTCTCGAAAGCCAAAGGTTCAGACGTGGTTGTTGTTGCAGGTGACTTCAATGCACAGGTGGGTAGACTGAGTGAGGCAGAAGGGCACTTAGGTGGCACTTTCGGAGCCCCGGCTGAACGTACAGATAACGGTGATCGCCTACTACAACTATGTTTGGACAACAGCTTATTTTTAGCTAGCACAAATTTCAGACATAAAGAAAGACATTGTTCACCGAGCTCAACTCAGCGATGGACACAGATAGACGACATTGCTACTAGTCATCGGTGGAAGACATACGCTCCTTCTGGAGTACGTGTTTGGACAGCGATCATGAGTTGGTCCGAGCACGTATATGCCTGCGTCTTAATGGATGTAGGAAAAATTTGGCAACAAAACCACTACGAGTACTGTTGGACAACGAAAACACCAAAGCCGTGTTCAGTGAGAAGTTGGCTAGGCAGTTATCGAAACAAAAGACTATCACTCATCCAGAAGACTCTTGGTGCCATCTTCAGTCTGCTGTGAAAGCAGCGCTGAAGACCCTAGCTGACTCTGAAAGAGTCGCTAAAAAGAGCCAGTGGATATCAGCAGCTTCTTCTGAACTAATGGATGCACGTGAACGCATCCCTGCAGGCTCGGGGTACAATGAAGAGCGAGCGCAACTTAAAAATAGACTGATGAAAAGTCTTCGCAACGATCGTGAACAGTGGTGGGCAGCGAAGGCTAAAGAGATGGAAAAGGCAGCAGCGATCGGTAACAGTAGATAGTTATTTAGACTTATTAAGGAGACTGGGGGGAAAAGATCAACAACAGTTAGTGAGGCTATAGCGGAGAAGGACGGATCTGCGATTCACTCGCAGGGGAGACGACTGGAAAGATGGGCAGAACACTTCGAGGAACAGTTTAACTGGTCTCCAACCACCATTGCGTTGCCCACTATCCAGTCGGGTCCTGAATAGAACATTGAGATAGGCCCCCCAACACTTGCAGAAGTCGAGAAAGCAGTAGGCAAATTGAAAGGAGGAAGGGAGGCAGGACCAGATAGACTAACTCCAGAGGTATACAAGGATGGTGGTAAGGTGCTCTTAGTCAGGTTAACGGAAGTGTTAGCCAGTATACGGGAATCAAATACGATCCCCTCCGACTGGTCTAAATCACTGATAATCCCAGTCTTCAAGAAAGGAGAGAATCCCTCTTGTGATAACCACAGAGGAATCAGTCTGACGAACATAGTATCCAAAATCCTAGGTTCTATAATTCTCCGACGCCTGAGTGGAGCTCGGGGACAGCAAGCCCGAGAAAACCAGGCAGGCTTTAGACCCGGCCGCGGGTGTATCGACCAAATATTCACACTGCCCAGGTTCTGGATCACAGAGACGAGAAGAAAGGAAAGAGGAATGACAAAATGGTGAGATTCGGTATAGCGTTGTTAAGATGAGGATAATGTGTGTATACATCTGCGCCACTGACTTCGGTTCTGAGCCATATCACCTAGGGTCTCCAACCACTGGTTCCTCTTGTCCCACGGACCCCAACCACCTAGTCTGCATCGTCCTACATGGCTTAAACCAACAGTCAGAGACTTCATACATTGGTGCCATGTTTTAGTCTGGCCACCTCGGGCCTTTTTCCAGCCTGGACCCACCTCAGCCAACATTGTGTGACGAGGCAATCGGTGACTAGGCATACGTAGTACGTGTCCCAACCATCTCAGTCGATGAAGGTTCACAACCTCGTCAACTGACTTACCTCTTCTCCCCAAAACTCTACACCTAACTTCTGCATTACTCACATGGTGACACCACGGAATACGTCCTATACGGTGGTCAAACACCTGAAGCCTTTTTATATCTTCCACTTTCAATGGCCATGTTTCACAGCCATACAGTAGAACAGAGCGGACTGCTGTGCAGTACACGCGACCCTTAATAGACAAACGAATATCACGGCGGCGCCATAGGTGGCGCAAATTGGCAAAAGCCAATCGAGCCTTTTGTATCCGTGCAGAAATCTCATCGGCAACTAACCCACCGGGTTGATCCTACTTCCCAGGTAAGTGAAGTGGTCAACACACTCAACCACTTCACTCTCTATTGTTAACCGCGGTACCGCTGAAGACCAGTCCTGGAGCAAAAATTTGCATTTGGGTGGTGAAAATCGCATCCCAAACATTCTCAAATTCCCACTCAAAGTGTTCAGAAGACTCTGCATCTTGTCAGCGTCTTCACCTAACAGGACTATGTCATCTGCATATTCTAGATCTAAAGAAAATTCACCTGTGATTAGGTCAACGTCTGTGTAATTAGGTGACGAGAGGGAAACCTCCATAAGAATATCTATGATAAAATTAAATAAGAATGGAGATAGTGGGCATCCTTGACGGACACCACTTGATGAGTATAGCTCCCTGGACAACTCGCCATAGGCTCTAACATGCCCACAAGTGTTCGAGTAGAGAGCCTTCAATAAGGTGATGTACTTACTCGGCAGAGAGACATTGCCATAAGACTTCTCGATCAACGGAGTCAAATGCCGCCTTCAGGTCGAGAAATACAGCTATTGTCGGGCGTCTGTAAGCGTCTCTGTGATCCAGGACCTGGCGCAGTGTGAATATTTGGTCGATACACCCGCGGCCAGGTCTAAAGCCTGCCTGGTTTTCTCGGGCTTGCTGTTCCCGAGCTCCACTCAGGCGTCGGAGAATTATAGAACCTAGGATTTTGGATACTATGTTCGTCAGGCTGATTCCTCTGTGGTTATCACAAGAGGACTTCTCTCCTTTCTTGAAGACTGGGATGATCAGTGACTTAGACCAGTCGGAGGGGATCGTATTTGATTCCCATATACTGGCTAACACTTCCGTTAACCTGACTAAGAGCACCTTACCACCATCCTTGTATACCTCTGGAGTTAGTCTATCTGGTCCTGCCTCCCTTCCTCCTTTCAATTTGCCTACTGCTTTCTCGACTTCTGCAAGTGTTGGGGGGCCTATCTCAATGTTCTATTCAGGACCCGACTGGATAGTGGGCAACGCAATGGTGGTTGGAGACCAGTTAAACTGTTCCTCGAAGTGTTCTGCCCATCTTTCCAGTCGTCTCCCTGCGAGTGAATCGCAGATCCGTCCTTCTCCGCTATAGCCTCACTAACTGTTGTTGACCATTTCCCCCCAGTCTCCTTAATAAGTCTAAATAACTGTCTACTGTTACCGATCGCCGCTGCCTTTTCCATCTCTTTAGCCTTGCTGCCCACCACTGTTCACGATCGTTGCGCAGACTTTTCGTCAGTCTATTTTTAAGTTGCGCTCGCTCTTCATTGTACTCAGAGCCTGCAGGGATGCATTCACGTGCATCCATTAGTTTGGAAGAAGCTGCTGATATCCACTGGCTCTTTTTAGCCACTCTTTCGGAGTCGGCTACAGTCTCCAGTGCTGCTTTTACAGTAGACTGAAGATGGCACCAAGCTTCTTCTGGATGAGTGACAGTCTTTTGTTCCGATAACTGCCTAGCCAACTTCTCACTGAACACGGCTTTGGTGTTTTCGTTGTCCAGCAGAACTCGTAGTGGTTTTGTTGCCAAATTTTTTCTACGTCCATTGAGACGCAGGCATATACGTGCTCGGACCAACGCATGATCGCTGTCCAAACACGTACTCCAGAAGGAGCGGAAGTCTTCCACCGATGACTAATAGCAATGTGGTCTATCTGTGTCCATCGCTGAGTTGAGCTCGGTGAACAGTGCCTTTCTTTATGTCTGAAATTTGTGCTGGCTAAAAATAGGCGGTTATCTGAGCATAGTTGTAATAGGCGATCACCGTTATCTGTACGTTCAGCTGGGATTCCGAAAGTGCCACCTAAGTGCCTTTCTGCCTCACTCAGTCTACCCACCTGTGCGTTGAGGTCACCTGCAACAACCACTACGTCCGAACGTTTGGCTTTCGAGAGGAGGTTAGACAGTTTATGGTAGAACTCGTCCTTCACTTCATCCGAACTACAGTCAGTGGGTGCGTAAGCAGAGATTACAAAGAGACAACGGCGAGTCTCACTATTCCTTTTAGTTCTCACTGTGCCGTTCAGCCTCATAGCGCAGAGGCGACTATCAACTGGGATCCAGTCTAGTAGTGAGTTTTCTGCCCTGGTGCTTAATGCTATACCTACACCTGCAAGACCACGAGAGCTAGCTATCGAATCTCCAGAAACTCGAAGGGTGAATTTTGCAGATTCACCAGATTGGTCAGGAGAGGTCAGGTGAATAACCACACTTGGGTCCTGTATGCGTGTCTCACAAACACAGCACACATCCATGGCCCGAGTTGCTAGAGTCTTTGCCAACGAAGCCTGTTGGCCAATTTGACGGAGGGTGCGGACATTGAAGGCTCCAATATGTAATTTGGAGCGTGGTTTAAGGAGACCAGGGACTGTTCTGTGGACTCAGATCGTTGTCGAAGGCTGCAGAGGTAGGAGAAATTGAAGATGATGCAGCATCATTAATTAAGAGACGTGAAGGAAGATTAGAAGGTAATGATGGAGGAGGAGGATAGCAGTCAGAAGAAACTTGGGTGCTGACAGAGTTGTGAGGGCGGTTGACACTTCCCGGCTGCCCACACCGTGGAAGGCTATTTCTTCTTAAGGTACCTGAAAGAGATTTGTGTGACCGCAGAGCCCATCGGACATCTGCTTGAGGCCTGTCACACCCAGCCTTTTGAGTATGATTATTTTGAACTTTTGTATTTTTGGGGCCGGATGGTCGAAAGGAAACGACAAGTGAACCAACACCGCCGGCCCGGCAGACCGTGGGGCGTGGTGGAGTGTGTTATTTTTGGGGCCGACCTTTTCTAACCCCCCCTTCCACTGAGAAGGCAGCATGGCACTGCTGGTCATCCAAGGGAAACACCTTACTGCTGTCACACCCCATCCAGCTAGCAGCAGTACGACTTCGCCCTCAGACCCCCATCATAGTGTAGCAATTTACACTATAACGGTAACTGCTTTTCGTCTAACCACTACCCAACAGACCTTTCTGGTATGGTAGGACCTCGAGGGAACAAGCGTTCCACCAGCATAGCTCGTTGGGTCATTGTGATATGCAAGCCCGACCACCACGTCAAGGTAGCAGCTATCGGTCGGGCTGGTATGATGATTGCATCCTGTAGATCTTTTTCTCAGGTAATCTATACAAGTTTTTACTTATTTTTTCGTCTAATTTCTCTCTCGTTGCTGTACACAAGCAATCAGTTTTGTTATTTTTAAATCGATAACACTAGGTGCGCTGAAGATGGGACTCTTTCCGCTGAGGGTTGGCCATCTACTCCTCATAATGTTTCCAAAATAGGCCTTACCAAGGCTTCTTTCATTTTCGGTGAGATGTTAAAAAATGACCGTAGGAAAATTATCATGAATTCGGTTAGTTTTTTCGTTTATAATTCTGTATTGTTTTACATATACGTGAAATTTATCATTTCATTCATAAGAGTGGCATTTTGTGATGAAAAATAACTTTGTTGGTTATCATTACGTCAGACAGCAGTACGCTGAAATACTACTGGGAGTACTCATTGATTTTCGTAACTTCCAGTGGTCGTAAGGGAATCAATCTGATTTACACACTGTCCGAGATTCTAGGTCCAGTAATCATTATACACTTAAGTTTACTTTGTGAACAGCAAACCTGAGAAGACCAAACAAGTTTCAGACCGGGTTATGGGTATACCGACAAGATATTCATTCTTTGCCAGGTATTGGGACAGAGATACATCTACTATGCCCAATACTAGCTATATTTCTTGATTTCTGGGGTCGTTTGGCGCTCTACTTTGTCAATCGAGTGATCTCCGATTGATAAGGGTGCCGGGTAAGTAACCACCCTGTCAAGGGTTCTGTGTTCGAAGAGGCGTGACGAGTATCATTGGTCATGTTGAGTTATGAGGTGAGTAGTGTCCGTAAAGGATGTTTACTTTTATTTGATTTTGTTATAGGCGTGCTGATGGAGGTTTCCTTCGTCGTTTGGCGTTGTCACGAAAGACTCCTTAGTTGATCTAGGGTAGGCAGGTGGTTGCTTGAAAATAGGGAGTAAGGTGTTTGGGGGTGCTGACTACTTCACGTACCTGGGAAGTGGGATCAGCCTTGGTGGGTCAGCGACCTTCAAAGCCCATGGACGGATATGAAAGTCTGGTTTGGCTTTTACCAAATCCCGCAATTCGTGGCTCTGTTGTGATTTCTGATTGTCTGTTAGGGTTTGGTGTATTGTAGTGTTAGTTCTGTGTGTTCTGCTGATCGATCGAGAAACACAGCCAATGTAGGTTGAGGGCATTAGAAGGCTTCAGGTGTTTGACGACTATTGGCGTTTAGCATAAGGTGTGTGTCGAACTGCCACTGCGTAGAGTTTTGCGTAGAACATTGTGATGGTGGGTGGATAATTTCCAGATGACTTTTCATATATCGATAGTAGGCTGCTGTTTGAGGTTAGAGATATGTAAACAATTCGAACAGTTTTCATCACTCCATTCAGTTGTGTGTATATGTGCTCATAGATTCGGATCCAAATGTGTCCATTATCTACATTGAGAGATTTTACTGGTTTTGTAATCAATTCTTATTATTCTCATTAAAAAGTGTGCTGGTTTTGCTTCTTGCCATTTGTATTGTGTTGTTTTTTCATTCTCTATAAATCACAAACATTTTACCATTTCTGTCTCTGCGTATTTGATAGTGTTGCCCGGGTTTTGTTGATACGATATGACTGATCATAAAGGAGTGAAGACTACCGATGAAGGTAAGTGGGTGAACAACCATTTCTTTTATCAAAGTATGTTTATGATTTTCAAATGGTATCTAGATGAACAAAGAATAGTTGTTTCAATGACTTATTGAAAAGAATATTCTTTGTTGAATTGTGTGGAGCTGTGGCTCCATTGATGTAGGTGTTCGACTTCCTGTGACCAGTAGCTCATAGGTTTGAATTGAAGCTCACTTCGCCTACCGAGTTTTTGACCAGTTAACTAGTGTGACTAACTTACACAGAGTAGGTTTTGGTCATTGCCTTTTAGGTGTTGCATGGAAATAGTTTCTGAGTGCATCACTCATGCTTCTGTTTCATTCAAACAAACGTTTTTTGAGTAACAATGGAAATTCATAAGGCACCTTCTTGTTAATCAAGTGATGATCTTGTTGAAGATTGTTTTATGTGTCGTGTAATTCCAGGTTGAGCCATGAGATATAACAGCTGATTATGAGTGAATTTAGCAACAATTGATAACTGGGAGACAATTCTGTTAGCCTAATTGTTGTTATCATTTTGTAAAAGACCATCTATAGAATTTGGTGGGCAGTTATATTGCAACTTGCTAGACGGCTGCTAACGCTTTTAGTCTACCATATCTTTGTAAGCAGTGTGGTCAGTTCACTGTCTGCAGTCTGGCATCCATCTTTAGAAAGAGTCAGGAGGAGGTTGTCGTCTAGCATCCAGTTGTCTGGTGGTGCTATACTTCCTACTACCGGTGTCTCATGAAGTGGAACAACTTCCGGCTATTGCCAGATGCAGCTGCTGTCTAAATCTCACTCTTGTGCTCTACCTACCAGGTCTTACAGTCCGTATGCAAGTGCTATGTGATCTGTCACGTAAGGGACTTGCACCGTCGTACTGGCTGCTTGTCGAAACACATCAAAAAGCGTCACGAAGTTGTAAGTAACTCACAGAAACGCAGTGTTTATTAGCCAAGCGTTTCTAAAATACCAAAAGCATTGTAACTCTGCCTTTATAGCCTCAAATAAGTGCAGCCACTTATTTTACCTGTACCTCCTGGAGGTTCGACAGCCAGCCTTGAATCTCTCTCGGTTTTGTATTTATTTACAATACAATGCTAGGTGCAGCCAGTTAGCATATATATTGAACCATTTCAAACGACACTTTTGATGGAGACTACCAAAGTGCAAGATGGACGCAGAACACACTAAATCCTGACCAGAGTCCAAACAGGTGTCTCAGAAGGAGCTACACTCCTGAATACACCTACACTATCCAGTATTATCTAGTTGTGTTAAGGCAAAAAGGGAAATGTCAGGTACTACAATGGCAATGCCTGTGCCAAAATTTGTTCTGATTAGAAAGGAGTTGTGATCTGCGCAAAGCTGCATAAGACGTTCCTCATTATCTGACCTGTAGTCGACTGAACCCCATTAGTCAACTAAACGATCCTCCCTCAGACATAGACGCCCAACCTTAGCATTCATGTCCCCAACTAGCACTGGGATTCCTGTTGGGCGCACGCGGCAGAGTTCACTCAGTTCGTTGTAGAAGTTACCCTTAACTACATCTGAGTCGCAGTCAATAGGGGGATAGGCAGGGATGAAGAAGAGGCATCGTGTCCTTTACAAGCTACTTTTCACTCTAATCAAACATTCTGACCTACCAGTGGACAGGTAACTGTTGATGAAGATCCATTTGATTAGTTCAGCTTTAGTTCTGACACCTGGTGCGACACCAGAACCGGTGAGGTGGACTGCCGACTCCACAGGGTCCCCTGATAAACGCACTGTGAATAGAGATTTTGTGCCAACAGATAGAAAAGTTATTCAGAGTATTTCACTGAGATCTTGTATGTGAGACTTTAATATTCAGTATACATCGATGTCAAGGCTTTCCAGAATTAGCCAAACGTGTCTATTGCCTTTCAGAAGGCAATAGAGCAGTGTGAAATGCTACATTCCCATGGTTGGTGATGCCTATACACTATTCTTCCATTCTGCACGGTAGGGTCGATATGTACCACTGCTTTGAGTCAGAGACTTCCACATCTAGTTTGTTGACTAACTGCCAATGAATCTATCTTGAACTGTCAATCTAGGTGGATTAGGTTCACTCAGTATCTGTTTTGAAATCTGACTTGTAGACTGGATATCAGTCAAAAGGCGTTTGTTCGTTGTCTGTCTGGAGGGATGAGTGGGAGCTGGGAATTGTAATGATATTGGTCGATGACTGTTCGTAGTATCTGCGTACGCGTCGGCTGACTGCAGTTGAGATGATGCAATGGATGAATCCTATCAACTGTTGATTTTGCTACATAAAGGATTGTTTGGTTGTTACACACTGGTACACTAGGTGTATGCTGTTCCGTTATAATAATGATCAGTTCGATTAAACTGAACAAGCGTGGTTAATGTACGAAAAAGCGATAAATATACGCAAAAGCGTATTGTCATCAGCAGTAAGCATATTGATTTCTTTTCGAAGGATCTAAAGTGTATCGATGGAGATTTTCTGTTAACTGCTAGAAGTTGATGTGTAGGAATTGATGTATAAGAGAGTTTCGCACTCATTAGCTCAACATTTCTACAATCTTGAGGAAATGTATGTTGCACGGGAGTTTTGAAAGAAGTGCGTGATGATGGTGTAGATCTAATACTAAGTGGAGAAGGACTACTATTATACTTTGAATATGCGGACAATATCGTCCTACTATACGACAACACACAAGCTACTCAAGTGGTAGTTAATCAGTTTGAGATTAGTGTCTGTAGGTATCGTAGGTGCTTTGCTACCACTGAAGTGCAAAATACTTTTGAAAGATTTGGGGGAGTTTTTGTCTGCGCTCACCCTCGATGGTGAGCCGTTGGTAGTCGTAGGAAAGTTGTTCGTGTATCTGGGTAGTTGTGTGTGTGTGTGTGCTGGTGGTGTGAGGGGTGAAATTTGCAACGGCGTATCGAAAGCCAGAGTGGCATACGTCAATCTGGGTCACGTTTGGCGCTGTGACGACGTTAGTCTGACAGTGAAAGGTCGAGTTTACAACGCTTCTGTGCGAGGAGTTCTACTGTACGCGTGTGAAACCTCCTCCTCTTTGAGCTAAGGATGTGCGACGACTCTGTGTGTTCGACTATCGTTGTCTTCGTAGTATTGCTGGTATCCGGTGGGAATTGTGAAGTCCGACGTCGTGTGTTTGGATATGATGGGGTTCGTCATTCAATAATTGAGGTCATCTGGAAACACCGGCTTTGTTGGCTTGGATATGTGTTACGCTTGTCGTCCCAACGGCTTGAGTACTGTTTATTGTTTGTTATCCCTGTGATTGAAGTAGAGAAGTGGAGGGATGTTCAGTGTACGAGATGTGGGCCGTGGAATGAAGGATAGTTGTATTGGGTTAGGATCTGTTGGTGCATCATGACTACGTGGGTGGAGTCCGAGAGATCACGCAACTCAGTGGCTTGATAAGTTATCAGATATGACTGAGGATCGAAACCATTGGTGGTCATGCTAAAGCTTCCTCCTATGTTCGACTGCTGAAAAGTAATGAATGTTTTGTTCTGAATGTTTCTAACCGGACTGCTCTTCCAATCGTTTATGTTTTCACTTAGTTGTTATACTGCTTTGTGTGGCGTATTTCTTAGTTGTTTTTCTGTACCATATTTGTGTTCTAACAGACAGTGATAATAATATGACCCATTCATTGTAATAACAGTACACGATAATGTGTGTTATTTAGCTCACTGGCCACTGGGCAGCTTGTAAACTTGATGGTTAGACTTCGATGAGGGTTGGAAACTTGGTGGCTACTTTATCTACCATGTGGCGAGTAATTCTTTCACATGGGGTTGCTTTCACAACGTCTGTGTGTGTGTGTGTGTCTCAGTTGTATTCTCATAGGGGTCATCTAGCAGAAAAACCGCTATACAAACTTGATTTATTTTAAAATGTTGTTTGTTGGGTGAACGGAGTTATCCCGTTGTGTGATGCGCGTACTCTGTCATCTGGTTTGGAGTAACATGTTGGCTTCGAGTATGATGTGTACGATTTGTTTGAGCTTCGGTGGTTTTATTTCTTTGGCTATGCCTTTCAAACTGCTACAGGATTGTGTCTGTCTTTTCGGTTCACTCTTTCTTCATTCAATCACCATAGTTTATCCGTTCTCTGTGTGTTGCCGTAATAATTGTGGAAGTATTGTTAGAGTATCATTTTGTCCGAATTTCACCTAGATTATCAGTTGGTATGTTAACATCAGCACCAGCACCACCACCACCACGACTGGGAAGATTTGTTTTGTTTCAGCACAACGATCTGATAGGATGTTTTTTGTTATTCCAGGCGCTGATACACCGTTTTACTTGGCCACATTACCGATTGGATCGAAGGAGCCAATTAATCAATTTGTTTATGAAAGGAAAGTGGTTGATTGGCACAAGTGATGCTTTAAGGAGTCTACTTTCTCATGTCTATTTAACTCAGGGATATTTATACAACTTCGTTGCTATGTTATCTTGATTTGTGTCAGTTAGTCAGTCAGTCGATTGTTTGTTTGTTTTTTCACTGAGTGATGTTGTTGTATTTCTTTTTAATAAATCATTTCATATTGAAGATAACGCATGGATTGTGTCATTCTGTATGTCAGTCAACGTGTACCAGCCTTGTTGGTATAGTCATTTTATTGTGTTATTGATGTGGATTGTGTTGTGTATCAGTTCAGTGTGTTCCCACAGTTATAGGTGGGGAGGGGGGTTGCCGGATGTAAGTGTAAAATTCTCCAATCACTACTTCTGTGGTATTTGTAGTACTCCAGTGAATTAGACTTATTAGTCAATAGTTGAAGAATATTTTTCTCAGCTTAAGTGAATCGATTTCATTTTGCCATGGAAATTGTGCTAACTTCATTTTGGGCTGAATGAGAAGTGTAAGATTATCTATTGTTTCATTGGCCCTCCATTGCTTGAAGGGTTTTATGGTAGTGTCTCTGACTGAAAGATGTGTCGATT